GAGACTTTACTATGTAGCTAATGGGTGCCTATAGATGAGCAGGGAGGCTGCTCTGACATGCTGGAATTCCAGTATGTTGGAGCAGACTCAATCGAACAGAATCGATTAATTGAGTCTGCTGGAGTGTGGCAATTACTGCACTCCAGCAGCCTCCTGCATCTTGTGTATGAGTGTCCCCGCCAGGGCCGTCCCTGTGGGGGGCAAATCAGGGTGACCACCCCGGGTCCTGCACTTTGGGGGGTCCCATGGAGTAATATTTAACTCTGTAAAGATTTTTTCCACAGTCCGTTTCTGTTCTCCAGTCTTAGATTTAAAAAATGCAAGCGAGAAATATAATCAACATCTGTTTTCATCGTGTTTCTGACCCACCTCGAACTGGAAAGTCATGGACAATTTCAGACAAGTGACATGGTTTTGGCTATCTTATAACTTTAAAGTGTGATTTTTGTAATGGTCACCTTAACTGGTTAAAGGTTACACAGTTCTGTTTTTGGTCACAAAACAGCTTTTGTATGTCCAGGTTTGTCATACTACATAAACATGCTTGAATAAGTACATTAAGGGAAGGTCTACATGTGCACCGGACTGCATGGTAACCAACAAGAGGTAGCAACGAGCTACTGCACAGTAGTGTTGGCAATACAGTTCCTGTCGGACAGTGCTACATTGCCGTAGCAACAAGCTACAGCGACATAGCTCATCGCTACGGCAACGTAGGGTCTCATGTAGATGTGCCCTCTGAGAAGCTATCCCATAGTACCACAACAGCAAATTCAGTGCTCTCATGACTTGCCAATAGAGTGAGATCAGCAACATGTAGGACAGTATACTCTCACATGTCTTAGCACAGTAGGGGCCAACCTTTTTGGCAGATGTGCCATAAATTAGTCCTGCACCCACCCCAAGTGCCACTCTGATCTCCTTCTCCTGCCTGCTCTGCCTTCAGCTCCCTATTCTGTGCTCCCTGCCTGATTTCCTGCTCTGCTCTCTGCTTCCTACCTTGTGCCACCTTCCTTGTCTCCTGCTTTGCTTTCTGTTTTCTGCCCTATCTGCTGCTGTTCTGCCTGTCCCTTCCCTGATCTGCCATGTGCCATACATATATGCTGCCTGACCAGTTGTGGCACTTGTTTTGCAGCTTGGCCACCCTGTTTTAATCCAGTTTATACTAATGTGCTAAACCAGACTTTTTGCGTCTAAATGAAAGGTTGAGAGAGGCACGGGGATTGATATTTGGGGACGAGCATTTGGGCCTGTTTTCTTATCCCAGTTGTGGTTTCTTTTTCCCGTTTTTAATTATTGGTTAAGGAACTGGCTGGGCAGGGGGTGGAGGGCAGGAATGTGGTCATCTACCATTATTTTCATTCAGCCAGGGATTTCATATTATTTACAAGATAATTTTTATAACCTTAGGGTTGGTTAATCTCCTGTTCCTGTCTGTATAACAAACAAGGTACCCACTGAAAAAGTTTATCACCTCTTTTCTGTTGTATAAATAACTTTCTGACCTAATAACACTAAAAGAAATGCATATGGGGAACTAAGAAAATACATATAGCCAGGGACCTACTTAATTCATGGTGGAAGTAGGCTGCATGGCAGCTCTTTTAATTTCTTAAGTTCACGCGTGCATTTCCCCCCCCCGCCCACACACACACACAATTGCTGATTGGCTGAGGGGCTCCGGTGGCCCCGATGCTTGTTGCTCACCAGCCAGTGCCATGTTTAAAACTGTGGGTTTCACCTCCCTGCCAATCAGGAGCGAGTGGCAGGACCCCTCTGCCAATTGGTGGGGGGCGGGGGACTGGAAGGGGGATGTGCAGGGGAATCTGCAAGATTAAAGGAGCTGCTGTGCATCCCACTTCCACTGTGAATTCAGTAGGTCCCTACATATAACTCTACTTGGAGCTTCCTGTGGGAATTATCATGGTTGATGCCTGAGTGGAGAAGGTTTTGGTATTACCAGGAGTGTGTTTTTGGAACAGTGTAGGAACTAATAAGTGGGAAGCCTTTTACCAGAACCATAAGCTTTTTTTACAAGAACTGAGCAAAACTTGGAGTAATAAGAATTTACAAGTTGCTTCAAATACTGAGACATCAGAAGTGCCTCAATCTGCTTTGCAGATCTTGGCAGGTTATACTCTTTAAATGAAGGCATCACCTTTAATGATTTAGCCAAGACAAACCAGTGACATTTAATTCTGTTGGCACAAATCTCTTGTCTTCATAACAGATTGCTCCCTTCCTCTCCTATGCACATATATACCACATTAAAAATACATTTGTATCCTTCTCTCTTGCATTTTCTTTTTCATATATGCACACAGTTTCTTTAATGCACATATGCAATGTTGACTTCCAGTTGAAAAAATTTTGTCTGTCAAAAGCATTTCAAGACATTTCTCTTGTCCCTTAAATTTTCAAAGATGGGCAGGAGATAGCCATCTTGTGCACTCAAATCGTCTCTTGTCTTTAGGCATGTAAGTGTTTATTCAGTTATGCCTGAATGTTCACCCAAGCACCAAAAATGCAGGATTTGGATATAAAGGCACTTATAGCATCCTTGAAAATTTGGGTCAGCACATTCACATACATTGAGTTTTTCCTCTTCTGTGGACAATTTTTAGAAAGCTGATTGCCATGGACTGGTTTTAGGTAGTGCTAGGATTATTACCCTCGGATGGGCAGTTAAACAGGTTACGTACTGCTGAGTTTACCTTTTTAGTACTTCAGCACTCTCATAAATTCAGTCTATATAATAAACCCCTCAAAACATGCCTGGTATACAACCCTATGAGCTCCCTATTTCTGTCATAAAGGACCTGTGGCTAATCATGAGATAGGTCTGGGGTTGTCTCTACCTGATTTAACTTATTGGTTTGGTGTTTGTATTATGCCTGTTGCCTAGATAGTTCCTATCTAACTACTGGCTACTGCCAAGGCTCTGAAAGATATCTCATTGAACACTTACTTGGAATGTTAGTAGATGTGTGTATGAGCAGAGATCTGGCATGGATGAAGACTTAGGAGCAATCTACATAGTCTATATACTTTTACAACACCCGTTCTTATGCTGCCTCAAGTCTGGAAGCGTTGGCACTGGAAGAGGGTAACAGAATCACTGCTGCCTGAGTGACTTTTCTGTCCCAATAAATAACTTGGTAAACTCATTTTGGACAGTTTTTTTCTTTTAAAGTCAGATGAAGGTTTTTTAAAAAAGGCAATAAATATTTCATGCTGATTTTGGATGCTATCAAATGCAAAACACTACAAAGGCTTTAATTTTATAGAATAACCTTTGACACCTAAAGAGGTTCTAATAAGCACTTTTTTCTATATTAAAAAAAAATAAAATAGAGTGAAAAGTGCTGTATTGACAGCTGCTGGAAAACAGGCTGTTTGGTTTACCCGCAGTGCAGGTACATCATGAACAGCAGCAGGACAAACTTCCCACACACTTGCCCTACCCCCTCCATTAATGTTCTTCAGACCTGACCTGGAGGGAGTGCTTGAAGGGACAAGAAGAGAGTTCATTCTCAAAGCCAATCAGTCCTTGCCCCCTCTGCTCAAGCTGTCAGCCAAAGTGCTAATTAGCATCAACTGTGACAGGGGAAAATGTGAACGAAGTCGAGGCTTTGATATTTGAAAGCATCAGGGATGGTTTTTCTGGAATTTCTGCAGGAATAATTTACGTCGGGCAGTGGGCATTGTAAATTCATTGCCTCATGATGGATAGGAATGGTTTCAAAGGGCTAACTCCAGTCAAAGGAGTGCCGAAAGCTTCAGTTGGAGAAAGGAGAGAGAATATAATCCACACGTGCAGCAGAGTGAAAGTACTGCCTCAAGATGTATAATTGCAACATTTTCCTTAAACAAAAATAACAATAAAGGAAAAATAATAGCTTCCTTCTGGCATATCTTTTCATATGACAGGAAGATGAAGCACTGGTTCCTCATCTACATTTAATTTGGACACTTGTGTAATTTAGTGGCCATGAAAATGTATAAATCATGAGTGATACTGTTGGCAAGGGCTGAGCTGGAGATGGTGTGGGTAATGGCTAAATGAGCTGCTTCCTCACAGCTCTATTCAGAGGTGGCCAATCCTGACATGCAACACTCAAAACTGTTCTAGTCCTAGGCTTTTCTGTCAAAGTTAACTCCATCTGGATTAGTGAAAATATTTGGAAAAATGGCCTATTCATTAAAAACGAAAAAAAAAAAAGAAAAATGATTTTTGGTTCACTTGAAGCTATTTACTGAATTTAGCTTCCTCTGAAAAAAGGGGAAATGTCAAAATGTTTAATGTTTAATTTTGATATTTTCTAAATTAAATCTTTCAATTTTTCATTCCAAAATGACATTTTGTTTGGCCGTTTGCATACATTAATTTGAAAAAAAAAAAAAAAAAAAAGATTAAAGCTTCCTGAAAATGAAACATTTAATTTTGGATTTAAAGGAAACACACAGGAGGTTTGAAGCCAGTGATTTGGGTTTGCATTTTTGGTAAGAAAACAAAAAATAAATCTTTTTGGGTACACTGGAAGTATTATTTATTTATTTATTTATTTTTCACCTTGGTCAGCAAGCTGAGAAAATGAGTTGTTCTTTCATCTCTAGCCCCAGCCTGCTGTACCTGCTACTGTTTTAGTCTTCATCCCTTTCACTCAGTGCAGCTCCATCCTGACTGGCAGCACCTCTTACTTCAGTTTTAGCTCATAGTAGAACAGAGACTGAGTATTATGCCAAAAGTTGTCAGTTTGTGCTGTAGTTTTATGATGTACCTAAATATTCTAGGAAGATAAACTCTCCAAAGTCATTTCAAATGTGACCTTCCTTATTTTTTAATCTATTTCCCCTAATGTGGTCCTCTTCTTGCACATGAGTGGACTCAGACATGCCGGATCGTCCTCTCTTTTCTGGGCACAGGAAATTGTTAGAGAGGGTAGTTTGGAGAAGGATGGGGCAGTCATAGGTTTCTGCCTTTTTCTGTGTCTTTGCAGGTGGGGAAATGGAAGGATAAAAACCTACAGATGAAGTATTATGTGTGGCCCCGCTTTGAGCTGTACCCTGACTCTGAGGAGCGGGAGGATGATCATCTGAGTATTGTGACCCTAGAGGAGGCACCATTCGTCATTGTGGAGAATGTGGACCCGCTAAGTGGCACCTGTATGAGGAACACAGTCCCCTGCCAAAAACGCGTCGTGTCTGAGTAGGCACCCACAGGATCTTTCTCCTTCTGGTTTGCCTTTACCTGCAGAGCAGGTGGAGCTAGCTGGGTACTCTTTGCTGGCTCTCCCTGACACAGCTTTAGCAGAGCCAGCTGGGCTTTCTCAGCTTGACCCATGCTGTCACTGATCAATGCCAAAGCCAGCCACACTAACCCAGCCTGGCTCGCTCTGTCCCTCAGCACTGATATTGCAAGCTGAGCTCTTCACAAGGTAGTTGTGTGACAGGGAGGAGACAGTGTATCTTGGGAAGCAAGGGGGATAACGAGTGAAATTTTCCTCTTTAATCTCTTGTGGTTGTGATTCTGCAGAAACAAAACGGATGAAGAGCCAGATTACATGAAGAAATGCTGCAAGGGGTTTTGCATTGACATCCTGAAGAAAATCTCCAAGTCTGTCAAGTTCACTTATGATCTCTACCTGGTGACTAATGGCAAGCATGGGAAGAAGATCAATGGGACGTGGAATGGAATGATTGGAGAGGTCAGCAGTGAAGGGCAGGGCTGCGCTTCACCCAAAGGCTGTGCTGCAGAGTCAAAGCCTATTTCCAGTTCTGATAGCCTCCCTTTGGGAGGAGCTGATGAGAACTCACATAAATAAGTGATCTGAACCCAGATATTATGGGGCTTGGGTGAAAGAATCCCCTCTAGTAATCTCACTGCTGAACAGTAGCACTCCTTTATCATTATTTATCATTTCCTGCTGTTTCCCTAGTCTGTGTGACACTTTAGAATCAAATTAAAGGTGATACCATGAGGTTACAGTTGAAATTAAGGCAAGACATCCAGGATATGATGAAAGACCTTTCAGTGGTGGGCCTAAGGACAGCAGAAATAAGATAACATGTCTTCTGGTTTAGTAATGCATTTATCCTGAGAGCTGCAGAGGTGTACTTAAAGTTCATGTACATACATTCTTTGTGGGGAGGTTTAATATTTACAAATTTCTTGGAAGAAGAGAGGGATTAGAAGAGGAGAGAGGGCAGGAAGGGGATTCCAGGAGAAGAGGGCTGTATGGGCAGATGGGAGCAAAGGATGATGGTGTATTTACCTGTGATGCCCAAGGAGGCCAGGCTTGGGAGCATCTCTAACTGCTTTTCTTTTCCCTTGTGTCAGGTGGTCACAAAGCGTGCCTACATGGCGGTGGGTTCCCTCACCATAAATGAGGAGCGGTCAGAAGTAGTGGACTTCTCCGTGCCCTTCATTGAGACAGGAATCAGCGTCATGGTGTCACGTAGCAATGGAACTGTCTCACCTTCTGCCTTTCTAGGTATGTATGCTTTTCCTAAGGTGGTGGCAAGGAAGAGACTAACGTCATTAACACTTAGCCGAACAGTCCTTGTGAGACTTTGGGAGATTCCTAAGGAGGACATTTCAAGTAGGGACATTTTAAAATTGGTGGTGTTTTATTTCTAAACCTCAAATGAGCAAAATCTAGACAAAAAACAAACAGGCAAAGTCCAGAAGTTCCAGGGTATTTCTCAGTGACCTTTCAGCCTAAGGTCAATATTACATAGAGCCATCCTCCACTCTACAGAGTATGGTTTCACTGTGGCTTGGCTAGTGGTATTTTCAAGAGCGCTGGACCATAAGAAAAAATAGTTTAGGTGTTATAACAGGACTTGCATTTAAAGTTAGTTATAACACAATGGGCATGCCTGTACCACTTCCATGGCACTGGTCAAACCACTGCTGAAGCACTCTTGTCCCCCTCCTCTGTTTCTACATACACCAGTCCTGGAAATGAGGCAGTGAAATTGCTTGGAGGGTGTCCCTGTCTGTTGCTCCTTTCAAGCATGCTGGAGCAAGAGATCATGAGAGTGGTGTTAGGGAGCATGTTTTAGGTAGTTTCATCGCCTCATCTCCGGGGTTGGAGTGCATAGGGTGGAAGTGGGTGGGTAGGGCTGGCTTTCTGAGTACTGCAGAGGGGTACAGACATACCCGGAGAGACAAGAGGATGCTACACCTTTAGAGATGTCATCCATTAGAAGGCACATTAACCTGAGCTCCCCTTGGCACTGTGTGGTGGAAGCTAAATATCTAACAGCAGCTATGAAAGAGATTATGGCATGATGTCTTTTGTCTAGTACATTTTGCTTTTATAAGATGTTTGCAGAGATGTCAAGTGTAAAAGGTGAGCTGTAGAACCATAGTCTGCTCCCTCACCCTGGGATCCTGCATGTTTTTATGTTCATGAAGAACTCTATATGGTAAATGAAGTTATCTAAACCTCTCTGAGCTGGGATTCTCATCAGATCATGTTTTTCAGTATTTTCTGGCTTTGGTCAGGTCCTGAAATATCACTGGGAAATATAAAACCGGAGCCGCAACAAGATTAATTTAAGGTTTATGATCTACCAGGAGATCTGGATTCAAATTTTGGCTGTAGTTTGGACCAGGTTTTTATTTTATCTCAGTTAGTTCGGCCATATTATTGCACTTCAGATTTAGAGAGGGGCAGGAGCCAGCACATTTTTAGTATGCTCTGGCATTCTTCATTGCAAAGATGATACTACTGTTAAAAATATCATAACTATAGCTAAATCTCAAAGGCTTTAGAGGGGTACAGTTTGATTCTGGAAGGCACCCCACAATTCAGAATCCCCTCTGAGACTTATCCAGATTTGTTTAATCTTGCAAACCTGGTGGAAGGGCTTCATGGATGTAGCCTTTATTCACTGAGATTCTCAATGTCTGTCTGATTCCAGATACCAGTGTATGAATAAAAATAGTTTTGTAATGAAACGTGGACTAAACTTTTTCCAGTCACTGGAGCTTTGAGGCTCAGTTTGAACTTGGGGGTGAATGCTGGGAGTCACTTCTTGTTCTACCCAAACCTGTTCCCCTACCCTCTGCTTAGAACCCTGTAGGATAACCTAATAAGCAATCTGGGCTGTATTTAACCTTTCACCCTGTTTTTTCATTTTTCCAGAGCCATTCAGTGCTGATGTGTGGGTGATGATGTTTGTGATGCTGCTCATAATCTCTGCAGTGGCTGTTTTTGTTTTTGAGTACTTCAGCCCCGTGGGTTACAATCGGTGCCTTGCTGATGGCAGAGGTAAAAAGAGCCTTTATTCAGTGCCAACCCTTCTCCCTTGTAATTCCGGCTCCTTCGTCAATGGAATTTCCTTTTCCCCCTATACATGACATGGTTCCAGCCCACTCCAATCTCCATGTTCTGTCTAAAAAGGGAAGGGAGGTGGAAAAATGACTCTGAAGATAACAGATGTGCGTAATGGATAATTTGCTTGGCTCAGGAGGCTGTGATGTGGAGCCGTTAATCTACACAGTGCTAGCTCCTATCCACTTTGACTTGCGAGGAAATGGATTCCGAACGCTTGCATTGGTACTGCCTGTGTTGTGCTTTTCTGGGGATAATTAGTAGCTTTTCGCTGTCAATCCACCTTTCAGCAATGCTAAATTTCACTAGAGAAGAGTAAAGATTAAAAGCCATGAGAGAGGGGAGTCTCTCCCCTATTATATTCTTCCCTCCTCCAAACTTAGGATCTGTTAGCTCTGGATGCCCCCCCACCCATTTTAATTGTAATGCTCTTTGGCTCTCCAGAGGTGGAGAGGACTGGAAGAGTGAAACATGAGTTTTCTTGGGGATCAATGGGAGTTGTTTGTTAAAGGTATGAAGGAATAAGAAAGGGAAGCTTGAGTTCACTCAGTGGTGCTCAGAAATCTCTTTCCTTGGGAGAAGGCAAGATGAGTTAGAGAGAAGGACTATACAGCATTAGCAGAGGCTGGACGCTCAGCAGTTAAAGTTGTTTCTCTTTCTTTAACTTGACTCTGTTATGAAATAGTTCCCAACATAAGGCTTTTTTGTTCTGTCAGCGTGATGGCAATTTTAAAATGGTTGAATAGAACTGTTTGCTTGAAAATACATTCACTTGCTTTCCAACCTATTGCCTTGAGCAGATTTATACCAAGCTAGAGAACACTGAAGAAAAGGAATTTGTTATGGAAATACTGACAGAGTCTTAAGTACAGTAATGCTGGTGGAGCCTTCTCTAATAACTGAGCTGTGAACAGTGCATGTGGGCAAATGGCCATATCTAAACAGATCTATGGACAGAAGTAAATATTAATGTAGCTATGAGCCTAATGTGAATTATTAATACAGATGTGTAAATAGTAACAGATAATAATATAAAGGTGAATTCAGATACATATTTTAAATTAGCTTTATGGCTAGATGCAAATATTAATATTTTGGGGGCTTGTAGATATCATGACATTGCTCAGACATATAGGTACAGATGTGAGTAACAGTGTGGCTATGGAAGGCAGATGAATATATTGTAGTGTTTTCTTGGAAGCAAATAATGAGCTGGAATTTCTTTGGGAACTCTATCCTTGTATTATTCTGTGATTGATAATGCAATTATGACTGTCTGCAGTGAAGTCAGTTGAATAAGGAGTGTTTTAGGGCAGAATTTTAAAAAGTCCATAACTGACGCTACATGGGACTTGCACTTGTGAGTCATGAGGTCATTTTACAAATCTTGCCTTTAACCTTTCTTTCCATTTTGGTCCTAAAAATGAATGAATGCAGTACAAAAGCCCTGGCTAGTGTGATTTTAACCTTACAGTTATAAGCACTAAAATAAACAATCTGTGTTCCTCATAATAAATTTAAATAGTTTCCATTGCCAATTGAAGATACAGTTTTACTATATAATACATCAGCTTTGAAGTCAGTTGTATGCACAGCTCAAGACAGATATAGGTTTGTTGGGCATAAAAGTTACATTTATAATAACACAGTTGATCCCCAAGGGGTAGGTTTTGGCTGACCCAGTGTTTGCAGGAGGGGAGCTGCAAGAAACCTTCTTTTAATTGGACTCCCCTACCAGTCAGTCCCAGTAAACCAGTCAAGTGTAACACCACAGCTAACAGGAATATTTCCAAGGGAATTTGCATGCCAGTTAGCAGAGTTGAGCTGGTCGGTTCATAGGATGTACCCTAGGAAAGCATGCTCTGCTTCTTCAGATCCTCCAAAGAACTCCAAATTACTAGGAGTAATTGCAAATTTAATGTCTTTCCCAGTTTACATTCTCAAGTAAGGTGGGCTCCAATGTGCCCCTCAGAATTTCTGCTAATGAGTCCAGCATATGCAGCAAATTATGCTTGAGGAACCTTACATTTTCATGTAGGTTTCTTAGCCAAGCGCTACATTAACATACGCATTTATTATTGCTAGAAGGAGTGAATATATTCTCTGAAAAGTGAATATATAAAACTAATGCCTATTTAAACAGCAGATCTTCTCTGTCCATGTCAGATTCAGAGTTGGAGCTTTTGATTTTTCTGAGAAGAGAAGAAATCAATGGACTATTCTTTAAAGTTGTTCACCGATCAAAGCCAGGATAGCTTGGCAAAAGCAAACTGGATTCTTTTCTGCTGTATGCATGATCAGCAGAAAGTAGGGCTATCAAATGATTAAAAAATGTGAATGCGATTAGTTGCCTGATTAAAAAAAATTAGTCACAATTAATCACGATTTTAATTGAACAGCTAAAAACTCAAAATTATGCATAGAAAAACTCAAAATTATGCAGCTTCTCACAGCTCTGTCTCGTGACCCGGCCCAGCCCCTGCCCCTGTCCCACTCCTTGCCTCACCATGGGGGCCTCAATCTGCCCCCTTGCTTCTTCCCTCCCCCATGCTTCTCCCCCTCCACAGACTTACCTGCAGGACTCTGCTCTACATGCCACCAGGCTGCATTCTTGGCTGCGTGCATGCTGTGGCTACTTATATGTGTCTGTGTGCACTCCCCCACTGCAGCTGCCCAGGGCCCATGCCCGGGCTGCCCTGCGGCTCCTCTGCACTGCCACAGCTGCCCAGCTGGGTGGCCCAGAGGTGGTAGTGATGGCAGTGGAGCAGTGCCTGGGCGCAGGTTCCAAAGCCATGTGCGTGATTAATTCATTAAAAAAAATAATGCAAGAACGAATTAATGCATTAATCACTTGTGTTAACTGTGATTACTTGGCAGCCCTAGGAGAAAGGTTAAGTGAATTCCATTTGTGGTTCAGTCCTTCAAATTATACAGTTATACCTGTGTAAGCCCACTGAGGGTGATAGCTCACGCAGGTGTCTGTAAGGACAATGAAGTTGGAGGACAATTCTGTTAAGTGAGGTTAGGATTTCTCTGGCAAAATCTTTATTACCAGGGTCATCATGCATGAACCAAATAGGAACAGACTGACTCTGAGATACCAGGGTGAGTTAGCCAAAGCACCTTTCTCTTGACAAGTATCCAAAGTTTCTGAGGAAGTCTTTGAGGCACAATATGTGTAGGTGTCTATGCTGCTTTTCACTTCTCAGAGTAATACTGTACTTTAATGCAGCTGCACACATGTAAGTGTTGCTGCAGGTGTTAATTACAGATGTGGGAACAGATGGTGATGTTAATTCAGAAGTCAGGTTGCATGAGTAAAGAGAAACATTGACAGCTTGTCCCAAGGTTTTCATTACCTGTTTCTTGGTCATTCTAGAGCCCGGTGGTCCCTCTTTCACCATTGGCAAAGCTATCTGGTTGCTGTGGGGTCTGGTGTTCAACAACTCTGTGCCTGTGCAGAATCCCAAAGGTACCACTAGCAAGATCATGGTGTCTGTGTGGGCCTTTTTTGCTGTCATCTTCCTGGCCAGCTACACTGCCAACCTGGCTGCCTTCATGATCCAAGAGGAATATGTGGATCAGGTGTCTGGCTTGAGCGACAAAAAGGTAATGGATCTATCAAAAACAACCTTCCCTAGGGAGGAAGTTGTTCCCTCTCTCTCCTGTAGTAATTGGGATCCTAATGAGTTTATTCAAAAGATTAGATATTGATGCCATCTCTGGTTAAAATGGTGCAAATGCTCATTACTGTTTTACACTAGCAGTTTGCATGTTTAAAGACTGTGAAAAGGATGAATTGGCTGAAAAGGTGTTGTATATATTGTATAAACAATGATGGACCAGATCTTCCTATAGTGTAAATTAGCATTGCTCTATTGAAGTCAGTGGTACTGCACTGGTTTACACCATAGAGGATGTGGCTCTTTAATTTAATGCTCACTAGTTATGAATCGACTCTTGGAAGCATAATATAGAAACCAAACTTTTTTTATTAGAGAGTAAGCAGCTATGCTGGGCTGTGTATGTTTGTTTCTTACCAGATTGCTCATGTGTTTGGGGCTCTACTCACTAGTGTGCTAAGAAAGGGTTGTTTTTATAAGCACTAGGCTGTGGGCACTGCCCATTTTTTTGTAGGGCTACTTCCAATGAGCATGGTGCAATAGACTCACTTACCTGTGAAGAGTCTATTCCAGGCTGTACAGACAACTTTGTTATTGTAGGGCTGCCCCTGAGTATTAGGCTGCAAATATTTTTATCGTAGGACAGCTATCAAGAACTGGACGGTACACATAGGCTTGTTATTGCAGGTCTGGTTATATAGTTGTGGTCCCCTGTGCAGTCGGTGACAGGCTAGGCATAAATTGTGTCCAGGCCCATTACTGCATAGAGACCTTCCTGTCAGCAGGCTGGAAATTCCGTCGCAGATTCATTTCATTTTTGTTTTTTCAGGGTTTTTTTCTTAACTTGAAGTTTCTCAATATAATTGAATATGATAATGCAAAACACAATACACACAGTGACCCTCATGTTCTTTATTTTGACTTTTGTCTTCAGGTGGTTCCATGCTGTTCCTACATTTTCATTTCATCATGACAGTTATTTTTTTTTAATTTGTATTTATTATACATTACTGCATGCTAGAAGCTCTCAGATAAAGCAGGATGTTTCTGTGAAAGAGGAGTGGGAGTTGTCCAGGATTAATTATGAGACAAACACATTAGCTGGGTATTTCTTGTAAAGCTGTCAGCAAAGAAATCAAAGAAAGCATTAATAGTGTTGGCATCATCAAGGTTCACCTTCATCTACCCACTAAGGGCCTTGTCTCGTGGGACACAAAAGTACATGTTAAATCTGTGGTACGTTATGCGGTATTCAAGTTAGAACTTGTCGCACAGTAATATATATTATGATCTCTGGCATACATAGCTTGTGCTCTGCTGCTGAAGGGCCGGTGAGCAGGCAGGCATCCCAGCATGCTTTGCAGGGTCCCCTTTTTTGCATATTTCTGATGAGAACTAAGGAAAACACTGGTTAGCTGGCTGTCTTGCTGAAGAAGCAAATTCCAATGCCTCCTGGGCTAGGCATGGGATCTCCAATCCCTCCTTGACTGACTATCCCAGCTAGCTTCCTGGGGATGGTGAGTGGCAGAATTGAGTAAATGCTTGCCCTGGCTGCTCTAATCCACATGATCTCCATACTTCAATGGCATTAGCTCCTTGCCCTAGGAGGTGCTACTTTGGGGAATGTAATATTGTCATGAACATCATGCTGGTCAACTTATAGATGGTACAACATGACACTGTGAAAGCTGCAGCACTGTGGGCTCAGTACTGGATGACACCTTGACACTGCTGGGCAATACCAGAGCTCGGATTGATGTGAATAGCTCATGCTAGAAACCTGGGATGATGAGCAGAGGCAGAGGAAATTTAGGATGTCCTTTATGCCAAGCTGGTTCCACTACTGCAACACAATGATGTTGGGCTTTGGCACCCTGCGTACATCAAGAGACACATGTCCTGTTGGTTTGGAAGTTTGTGCACACCAGCAGCCTCTGTTCCATTTCCAACCAGCTGTGTGGGATGGACAATGGCAATGATGGCTTTGCATGACGTATATGATGCTTTACATGAGGAGCTGGGGCCTCAATTTATTGGGCTCAGGGACCTGCATGAGGTCATCACGGAGTTTGAACAAATTACCCTCCATGGAGTTCAAGAGGCCCTGAATGGGACCCACATGCTCATTCTGTACCCCCATCACCATGCCTCAGATTAAACTATAAGGGGGTCTTTTCAGTTCTGCTCCAGGAAGTTGTGGACCACTGGAGGCCCTTCACTAACATCAGTGTTGGGTGATTGGAAAGGGTACTGATGCCTTCATAGTTGGGAAATCCAGTTTCCCAGAGATGATGGAGTAGGGGAATTTCTCCCCCTGTGCTCCCACCATCAATTTGAGTGGGCTGACCATTCCCTCCCTTGAACATCAGGGACCCAGCCATTTATTGCTTCCCTGAATCATGAAGCCAGTACACCAGCTAGCTGGACTCCAGGAAGGAGTTCTTCAGTTGCCAGGTAAGCAGCTGCCAAATGGTGGTGAAATGTGTCTTTGGGCACAAAAAGGCACACTGGAGGTCCCCAGGGGGGTCCTTCATGAACTTGGGCTGAGGAACATTCCCAGTTTTGTGGCAACTGTGTGCATCCTTCACAATATATGAGGGGAGGGGTGAAGCCTTTCAGTTCCAAACAGACCTACAGTGGGGGAAACCCTTAGCACTTTGGATGGTTACTGGACTGAAGCATCCTGGACAGAACTACTGGTAGGCTATTCTGATCGGGAAAGCCTTGGCTGATTACTTTTTGGGACAACGTCTTGCAAGGTGGGAAGAGGTGAAGGGGACCTCTGTGTGATTGTAAACCCTTCATTCACTGCACTGCACCTTTTATTATCTATTTCTCCAGAGCATCTCAGTAAACAATGTCCATACTGTGGAAAGGTAAGTACCTTTTCTCAGCCAGGATGGCCGATCTCTTAGACAGGGCTTTAAACTAAGATTGCAGGGGGATGGGGAAATGCTAGCTGGAGCCTACCCAGGGACCAATATACAAGAAAGCTCCATCGACAATGAAACCAAGCAAGCAAAAAAAACAAAAAAAGCCACTCTTATGGGAGCTGAGAAAACAGCTCCCCTTCAACGCAACAGGCAGCCAGCGACCTCAGTAGAAGGACTTAGGTTCTTGTACACCAATGCCAGAAGCATGGGGAACAAGCAGGAGGAACTAGTCCTCCTGCTTTCCACTGGGCACTACAATTTAGCAGGGATCACGGAGACCTGGTAGGACTCCTGTCATGACTGGAGCATAGCCATAAAGGGCTACATCCTTCATATGCGAGCACAGCTTGTTCCAGGTGGAAGGGGGCAAGTGGCAGTGGGGCATAGCCTCTGCTCCCACAGAAAAGCTATGTCCTTCACAGAAGGGATCGGGTAGGGAAGAGAGGTGGGGGGGTTACCCTCTATGTGAAGGAGCAATACACCTCCCTACAGGCCGATGTTGGCCTCAAAGAAGAACAGCTTGAAACCCTCTGGGTCAAGCTCTGGGGGAGGTCCGGCAAGAGAGACCTGACTGTAGGTGCATACTACAGACCGCCTAACCAAGGGGAGGAACTTGATCTAGTGTTCGCCCGTGAGCTAACGGAGGCCACGCGTGCATAGGACATGGTTGTCATGGGTGACTTCAACTACCCAGACATCTCCTGGGAGGAGTGCTCATCTAGCTCGGATTGATCACAATCCTTCCTGACCGGCGCCGAAGAGTTTTTTTTTTTTTTAATTGGGAGGTGCACAGGCCAACTAGAGGCAATGCAGTTTTTGACCTGGTTCTGACCAAAGGGGATGACCTGGTGACCAACTTAAACATAGAGGGCAGCCTAGGCGATAGTAACCATGAAATCATTACGTTCATGATCCATCACAAGGCTGACAAAACAGATACCAAGCTCCACAGGTAAAGGGAGCATGAGAAGAATGGTCATTCCTTAAGGATACAGTCCTTAAAAAAAATCTATTCCCTTACGGAGAAAAAGTAGCAGAAGGGTCAAAAAACCCTCTTGGCTAAGCACAGAAGTTGCAGACCTCCTACAGAAAAAGAAAGAGGCGTACAAACAATGGAAACTTGGGCCAGTCTCTAAGGAAGACTACTTGACAATGGCCCACACTTGTAGAATACAGATTAGGCAAGCTAAGGCAGAAACCGAACTAAAACTAGCTACAAGAATCAAGGACAACAAGAAGTCCTTCTTTAGCTACATAGGGAGTAAAAGGAAAATTAATGGAAGTGTGGGGTCACTGCTTAATGCCTCAGGATACCTGGTCACTACCACTCAGGAAAAAATGGACCTCCTAAATTACTGCTTTGCCTCAGTTTTTCACAAGGCCAAGTGGAACAACGTGCCAGGTAGGGCACAGAATGAGCAGGGCGGGATTGACGCCATTTCCACCATTGCCGTAGAACTGGTGTACGATCAATTAAAAGAAATTAGACGTGTATAAATCAGCAGGACTGGATGAACTCCACCCAAGAGTGCTGCAAGAGTTGGCCAAAGTAATCGTAGAGCCTCTGGCAAAGGTCTTTCAAAAATCATGGGCTTCTGGAGAAATCCCAGAGGACTGGAAGAGGGCCAGTGTTGTGCCCATCTTCAAGAAGGGGAAGCGTGAGGACCCAGGAAACTACAGGCCAATTAGCTTAACTGCTATTCCAGGGAAAATCCTAGAAACATTGATCAAAGAGACTATATGTGACAAACTTGCAGAAGGCATGATACTGAATGACAGCCAGTATGGCTTTGTCATGGGCAAGTCTTGTCTGACCAACCTCATTTCTTTCTATGATCAGGTAACTTGTCACCTGGATGAGAGAAAAGCAGTTGACATCATATACCCTGACTTCCAGAAAGCCTTTGACCTGGTATCCCACGAGGTACTAATCAGAAAACTGGAAGATATTGGGCTCAACTGCAGGACTGTCAAGTGGTTGTGAAACTGGTTGCAGGGTAGGACACAGACTCCAAATGAATGGATTGGTGTCATCCTGGTGAGATGTGCTGTT